TCTCTTTTCTGTTTATCTTTCTTCCCTTTGGTTCTTCTTCTTAATTCTTTCAGGGTGTAGTTGTTACATTTCATTTCTCTGGTACTGGGCCTGTGGGTGTAAATTAAGAGGCTGCAGACTGGAGTGACATCATCCTGTCCGTTGGTGCATTCCTTTCGCACTGAATAAGAAACAGAAGAGTAGGCAGATCGGTGTAAACTAGTCATTACCAAGGGCCCTTTTTGTTTCTGCAGGTTTAATCTCAGACCTGGCCCCTCAGAGAGCGTCTTAGACCGCCCGTAGAGCTCTTACAAAGAGCTCATATCTCAAATTAGTCTTACTTTGGCCTCATTATTCCAAGGACACGTCCCAGCCAGTTCCATTATCAACTCATTCTCATATAAATCCATGACATACTAACGGGCATCTCAGATCAAAGGAAGTCAGTAGATTATGTCATTTCGGTGATTTAATGTGTTTCTTAGTGGAGGCTTTGGTGTATGTGTGATCTCAAGAGGCTGTCAAATACAGAAGAAATGGGACTGAACTTGATATGTATGAAGATACAACTCAACGTATTCAGAAGAAAGAAAATAATGGAAGTGCTTTAATTATTGAGGACAAATGTTACTGCGTTCTGTGATGATTCAAAACTGGAGCCGACAATGGTCTGTTATGTTTCTCCCCTGTGAAATAAATTCCTTAAAGAAGGAAACTAGTTCATAGTTAGCGTACACAGAGTAAGAGTGGTTCTCATTCTTCTTTGGCTGTGCTCCACTTCTGTTCTGGTAAGGCCTGGTTAGACAGAAAGAGACGTTAGAGGGAGGTCTTTATGGGCAGAAGGAGACGAGCTGTTCGGTTTGAGTCCTCCCCGTTCTTTTCACTCCTGGCATGAGCCGACATCTCATGAAAGCTGACGAGTGTTGGACAATCTAGAGCTGGAGAGACAACACGGAGGAGAGCGGGACATGCTGGAGAGGGGGAGAGTGGGGCCACCTCTCTGACCTAAATACTGAGGAGATTTTGGCTCAAGACGAACTCTGTCGGACCCCTGCTGGAGCACAACATGGCTCAGGAATGTCACCCCCTACCTCCTGATTCTGTCTCGTCTACATCTCTCACCTTCACCTCATTTTCCCCTTCCATCATTTCACCTCGATGTAATTAGAAACATGCTTGTGAAACGCTGGGTTGCATTTTGAGGTGGTGAGGGTGAAGTTACCTTGCTGTGTGCGCATTTGTTTGTCCATCTGTCAAGTCTGAGACTCTGTAGTGAAGTACATGATGTAGGGAATGGAGTCACTGTAGGTAAGAAACAAACAGTATCAGTGTTATGCTTTCAGTCACACACCTATAGAATAGATGCATGTTAATGGAGAAACTGCACACAACTCAGTAGAATAGGAAGCAGAACATTTTGGGAAACATGCTTATTTGCTTTCTTGCAGAGAGTTAGATGAGAACATTGACACCATAGTGTCTATATCGATTCTACAAAGCCAGCAGCAGTTAGCTTAGCTTAAAGGTCCAGTGTGTAACACTTAGGAGGATCTATTGGCAGAAATGGAACTTTAATATTCATAGGTATGTTTTTATTAGTGTATAATCACCTGAAAATAAGAATCGTTATGCTTTTGTTACCTTAGAATGAGCTTTTTATATCTACAAACGCCATAGGTCGCCTTCCATTGAGTTTGCCATGTTGACGTCTTTCACACATTTCAAGGCCACCGTAGTTTCTCCTTCACGCTTGGATAGGGAAGGTGAAATATTGGAGCTGCAATTTGCATCTACAACGCTAGATGCCATTAAAACCTACAAGCTGAAAAGGAAACAAAGCAAAGTTACAGTTTGGGGGAAAAGAACACAGTTTAAACACTCGGACACTCAGATCATGTGCTCTATCAGAACTTTGTTGGTGGGGTTTGATCAGTTTGATTGAAAATGCTAACATATAAGCACATAACCATACAATAGGGGTGTGTATTCTCCCTCTCAGACAATTTGAAACACATCCAATACCATAACAATACAGATACATCTGTAACAATTGATGTAATTTAACTGTGCTTTTTTTTTTATTTCAGTACGGAATCAGAAATAGCCTACAAACATGGTGGAAATAGAGTTAGCTGCTAACAATAGTGTTACTTGTCTTATACTAACTGTTCCTCTATGTTGTCAGTGCATTTTGTAGTCCAATTTAGTCAGACATTTGTTTTAGTGAATGTTATGGATGGCTCATGGAGGGGACACTAAACTTCATGCTGTATAGAAGAAGCGCTTCAAACTAGCAATTGAGACCACAAGCTCATTGGCTCACATCAAGTGAGAAGTACAGTCAATACAAGCACACTGAGCCTCTCCCACTTCAAACCAGTTAAAGAGCACAGATAAAACACCACAGACATATAAACTGTTCCAATTTTGTGTTTGTGTTGGACCTCATTCATCTTAAAAACAAAGCTGACGTAGAAAATAAGTTTTCTGCCCCTTTAAACTCCACTGTGTGCCAAAGAGACACCAATCTCACTTTCTCCACTCGGAAAATGCCATCAGATAAAGACTTTGGGTAAGATTTCACAACAGTGACACCTTAAGTGATGTGTCAACTGCCATCCTTTTGTCTGTGCAGTGGTATCACTTCATGGACATGACACCAGAGAACTTCCTGTGACAACCTAATGGCGAGCTGGCATTGTGCCAAGTGTACTGCTGCCTAATCCTGGGGCCGGTGATATCGTATCTCTGTAGCATATCACTCAGGCTGCAACATCCTGGAGTGCTTTCTGTGCAACATGTAGGCTGAAAAACTGATCTGCAAGGGATCTGCTATAATGGAGAGTAACCTGCACATGCAGAACATGGACTGAGATGAACTGCAATGTATAATTCAAATGCCTTCACTTAACAGCCTTGTCATTGCTAAGAACAGTGAGACTCAAGGCTGCTATGATAATGTAATATTTTAAGGCAATGTACAGTAGATAAGTCCTTTTACTGACAAATATGATTGCCAGAATTTTACTTACAGTATATTATTTCTTCTTAAGGGCCAAGTTTGCTCATTGTATCCCTATGTTTACAGGACGGTTGCAAAAGCAAGTCAAGCTGTGGAGTGCAAAGTAGGTTACACCACTACAATTTTCAACAGAAATGATCTTATCTTCGCTGTGAGCAGCAAAAGCTGTAACAGCCAAGCAGCTGTGTGATTGGGTTTGACATTCCCCCTTCAACAATGAACCTCTTGTCAGCATTAGCCAGAGAGCTGCGGTGACCTTTCTTACAAACTTACAAATTGGCCTGTGTGACGCAACGTGGAGACAAAAGGCGCTTTCCCTGAAGGAGCATAGTAAAGACGTATGTCTCTTGTCTCATTATGTATTCAACGTTACAGACTGATAAAGTTGTGTGTATGTGTTCCTGTTCTCTTGCCACTGATTGTGTGTTGCTGTCAGTGGGAGCTCCTGTGCTCTCTGAGTTCCAGCACAGTGTATTCTGCTGTTGTTAATGCTGTCACATGTGGCTCCATGTGAGGCTTTTGCAGGAGCACACAGCAGCAGCAGCAGGAAGGAGACCTGCTCTGTTCTCAGCTGTTCAGGCCAGTACTGACTGTTCTGTGGAGCTGTGTGGGTGAGACTGTCTGACTCCCCCCTCCCTCCCCTACACGCTCAATCACTCACTGATTTCCTCTCTCTCCTTCTATTGCAGCTGGCAAAACACATGCATTAAAGGCTGACAACACAACTGTGATATCTAACTCCACTGTTACTTGTCTTCATATTCATATGTTTGTGCAATGCATTAAGGTGCACTGTGATACTTTATGGGTGCATTAGATTTTTACAAACAAAGGCAGATCACTCACCTGGTCAACTGATAAAAATAACAACAAATGTTCTGTCAACAAGCAAGCAGTTATGATGCCCTTTAACCACTTGTTATGGATGGGGGGAGGGGTGTTGTTCTGGCGCCCTCTCCTGGCTGTTGATTAATATTAAGGCAAAATACCATGAATGGTGTGTTTTTCTCCATGAATGAATTAACAATGTTCTCCTCTGGAGGTCGACAAATAGCCTATATCCGTATAAAAAAATGTCAGAAACACGAGGAATAATTCAATTGTTGGCCACTTGGGGGCAGCAGAAAGGGGAGCAAACACTGACATATATCACCTTTTACTTTATCACACAGGTTTCTATTTACACACCCAGCAGTTACTGAAGAACATTAGCATTCATTTGGAGTAGTGTTTCTGTATAAATGTATAATATTCACCCCCTTTTAGCTTTGTTTTGCTGTCTAATCTAATTTTTTAATGATACATGTCTTTATTTATATTTACATTTTCCACATTCACAGACACAAACACAGACACACACACACACACAGCCGCCCCCCCACACACACCAATGGCTACCATGGTGTGGGTCTGACCATTGGGAGAAATTTGGAGTTCATTTTGACACCGCTGTGTGGATAAGAGGAGTTGGTAATCTAACTGGCAACCCTGCAATTAGTGGATGACAACCTTTTCTACCAACTGCCACCACTTTATCTGCTAAATGCTCCACTATGTTCACTAGCTAGCCGCTAACTTTGACAGTCTGCCATTTAATGCTGCAGGTAGGGAATGCAATTTTTGTTTTCTTATGATGCAGATAGAAAGGTTGCATTGTTCATTGTTGTTGCCATCCTAGGAATTAAATATCAGTGTGTTTTTAGAGTTTTTTCATTGAGAACTGCTGCCTGCTGCGTCTGGAATGCTGCAGTAAGTGTGAACCAAACTAGACCAGCTGATAATTAACTGTAGATGCATCAGTATGAGTGACATGTTTCCCAGCGTAGTCAATTGATCCATTGGTAATATAAAATATTGATTATAGCATCCTACACCTACCTATATAAATCATACACACTGGTCCTTTAAAAGTGACACAAGTAAACTAACACAATAACATTTTTGCATAATAAGCAGTTATGGGTGTCGCATCAGCATTTATGCCCTACACATAAAAAAGCCAACCAAAACATCAGGTCTCAACTCATTTCTTATTTCTCATTATCATAGTCTGAGGGTATTCAGATTCTCAGGTTTCACATTTCACAATATGTACTCTAGTGAATTTGAATGCCTGTTAATGATCACTTCATGTTGCTTGTGTGGAAAAAAAGATATATAAATTTATTTCTGGTTTATTGGTGTATATAATTCACATGCCATGGTAGAACTGTAACTCCACCCTCTGAGCATCAGCAGACTGTTGTAATCATCAACAGGAATGAGTGCTACGTAGACTTAAATGCAACGTCAGCTTTTTCTGTGCTTTGGATATGTACAATGGCAGAATAGCAGTAGCAACACAACACATGAATCTGTTTAAGCACATTGAGGAGGAATGGTGTGTGAATGAAGGAATGTGACTCCTGCTGCAGTAATAAAGTTGCTATGATAAGCATGCAAGGTGTAGATAAAATGCTGCTGCTGAGTTCTGGCACGAGATACAGTAACAGAGCCGCTATGCCAAGCATTTCAACACCGACATCTGACTATAGCAGCTGTCATAGTACACACAGGTCTGCTCTCTGGTTTCTGTGTGTGTTTTAATGCACCACACTGTCATCACTGCCATTAGTATTTAAACTGAAAACAAGTAATTTATTTTTTAATTAGGGAGAGAGAGATTGATTTTATCTTTGTAATCTGCTTTGCATAATACAAATGCATCTTAGATTCTATTGATCTGTCAGATATTTATCAGGTGATGTTACAGTAGCAGATCTCATATCCGGAAGCCTCAAATCACAAGGTGTTAAAGGACTTTGGCCACTGGAAATTGCTGTGTCTTGTGAGAGGTGCTCCTAAACCACAAGTTAACCACAAAGCCAGAGATGCACAGGTGACTTCTGCTTTTTCTCTCCGGGTAAGGGATAAATATTCTTTGGATTTTGCAGACAGGGCAACATAATCCTATTTGCAGTGAAAGTATTGTAACTGTGTATCTATGTGTTAAAGCCGCTTATGATTTCTTACCTTTACCTGCATACGTTTATAGACTATACATTTAAATATAATTGTCTCTGTCCAAAATTTAGATACTATAATTTTTTTGAGAGTAGAATATGTTTTTTTTTATCCACATTATAATAATATATTAATTGTATGACCTACACAGTCATACTGAGGTGTAAATTTGAGTTTGCTGTCTGAGTTGGAGTTCATAAACATTAACAGAGTCATATGACTGTCAATGTGACAACCTGTTATATAATAATTCACATGAAGTTAAACCTCAGAAAAGAAAAAAAAAAAGAAAGAATTTCTGCTTTAAATGTGACAATAAGCTCTGTGATCAGTAAAAAGTGATTTAGTATTAACAAATCATACATATTTCTGTTCCAAATCATTTGTAAGCATTAACACACAATGCTGTTTTTGAATTAGGCCATTTGAGGTTATTGTCACATATTATTACTGGAATATTTCCTTATTTTAGCTGCTGTTAGAGGGACTGTTATGGAAGCGTTTGGCCTGAGAAGGACCCAGTCCTTGAGAAGTCTCTCTGGGGTTCTGGAGAGGTCATGGGTCACGCCAGCTCCCACCCGCTGGGACAGAAAATCTGTGTCTCAGATGGTGCGACAGTAAGTTCAGCACAATATATATATATGCACATTCTTGTACACATATAGCTTAAAACTGTTAGAAGCAAACTGAGAATGCTTGATTCCCAGTACAGTCCTCTTCTAGAAGCTAATGAGGAATGAAAGTTGAGCAGTGCTTTGCTCAAGGGCATGTTGACAGTTTTTTTTCACTTTTACTGCTCACAAATTCCTAAATGATTCTTGGGTTTGAATCACAAGGGTCAATGAGAATAAATGTGTCAATAAATGTGTTCAAACAGTTACCAAAGTTGTGCTGACCTAAGGAGTATTGAAAAAGTGGAGCATAAAGTCCAGGTAGGCCATCTTTTTATTTCCTTTTTCATCACGAGTAACATGTGTGACGACCATTAAAACAACAACACACATAAAAATCAATGGCTGCTTTCAGGTGTCAGAGAGCTGTGTAGACAGTCGATGGAGAAAGATGGACAGCAGGGAGAAAGCAGCCCTCTGGGCATCTGGAAGAAGCTCGACTCTGTCTAGGAGTCGCTCCATGGACTTCCTCCCTGAGAGGGAGTCCACAGGCACCAAGGCTCTGCGTGCCCTGTTTGAGTCTAAGGCCACCCTGCAGCAAGGCTTCAACAGCAGCCCTCGGCTGAACTCAGCAGCTGCTACTGGCAGTCAGACAGGGAGAGACTGCCCTCTGCAGGACTGGAGAAGTCACAACACCCCTTTGAAGGATACAAGCGTTAAGGTGTGTGAGTTTTGTACATTCGGTATTACTTTCTACATGATTCAGCATGATGTACCTACCAGATTTTACTACATTGACTGTGTTCATTGATGCATGGTTCCTTGGTTCTTTAGAGTAAGCAACCACAGAAAAATCAGTCACACACATAATGTTAATGTCCTCGGATAACATAATGCTCTTCCAGGTGCTTGCAGGCATCAAGTGACCAGATGTATAAAGTGTTAACACACCCAACAGCCCAGGCCCCATACGCTTCACCTAACAGTTCATTTAGTGCATGGATGCAGACAATAAACAGAGAACACCAGAGGCTTTAAAGAGAAACACCTGCACCTCCTGACCAAAACACATGTTCCTACAGCACACATGTTTTTAAAGGAATAGTTCTATACCACTCTCATGTCTGTGTACTAAATGAAGCTAGAGCTAGCAGGCGGTTAGCTTAGCTTTGTATCAAAACTGGAGAAAATAAATGTGGAAATTAATAAATGTATAATTTCTCATTTATTTATATTGTATAATATGTAGATGTAGGCTGAGACAGTTATCTGCCCGTGTAGAGACAAGTGTTTTATTATGGAGTTTCATTTGTTTTATGGATGCTGGCAGGCAACATTAAACATTGAACAGAGCCATGCAGTCTAGCTGTTTCCCTCTGTTTCTAGTATTTATGCTAAGGTCAGCTAATAGTCTTCTGGATGTAGCTTCATATTTAAAGGACAGATATGATAGTGGTATCGATCTATCTTCTCTAACTCTAGGAAAGTAAGTGAATAAACATATTTCCCAAAATGTCAAACTACTAATTTAAACTCCTACTAGCAGGCCACTTTCCCAAATGGGGCAACCAATTTACTGTCACTCTAGAAACACCAAAAATGCTGAAATTGTCTTCATGACTCTATATGTTGTTTATCCACAGAGAACCGCCCAGGTGGAGGGAGGAAAAGCCACTAATAGGCTGCCAGAGTCTTACAACAGAGCATCCAGATACTCACACGGTGAGCAGTGGTGCTGAATTTCATGTTAAGAGTCATTGAGCTCTGATAGGGTGGATGGGATTGGTGCCAGGGTGGCCTCAAAGGCATGAGATCACTGTTGTATTTTGGTGCCACAGTTCAGTTGTCCTCTCTTTATAGGACTATTCAGGACCACTGTGATCTTTGAGCAAGTTATTGTTTGTGTTCCTGCTGGTTCTTTTAAGTATGTATGTAGTTCAAGAGATGTATCTGTCTGTGTTAAAAACAGTGCTGGAGAATCCCCACACATTCAGTATATCATATGAATTTAGATTAAGTTACCATGGAGTAAAAATGTCAGGATCAAGGTCTCTGGGATTTAGAATCAGCATGAACATCCTGACGTAGTTGGCTGAGCACTAACCTCTGTGTCCTTTGGACCTGAGAGTTGCAAGGAAACAGCTAAATAAAGACAAGGATGTAGTGGTGTAAATGAATAACTATGTGTTTGGCACACATGCTTAAGATAGGAGTGAGGCTGTCACTGACGGCTCTGACCGTGACGCAGACCTTGGCCTTCTGAACCATGCCAATGTGTCCTGCAACTGATATTGTTTTTCAGTGTATCATAGTTGACGTTTTGACCCTGTGATGTGTCTAGTGTGAGTAAGAGACAGGAATGTGAGTGGACATCTACAGTGAGGATTACTGACAAAAATCATAGTGTGCTTTACCAAAAAACAGTGAAAATATTTAATAACGTCAGAAATTATATTTCAACCAGTAGAAAATAATGTTATATTCTACTAGCATAATCTAACACATTGGTTTTCAAAATGGGATCCGGGGACGCCCAGCAGTCCTTGAGAGGGTTCCAGGGGGTCCCCAGCAAAAAGGGGAATCATTTCATCCATAAGTAACACAATGACAGAATGTATGACTATTTTGGTCATGGATTTTATACACTTTCTGTAATAAAAAAATCAAATAGCATCAGATTGGGTACCCTGGGACAGAATCTTATATAAAATGGGGTCTGTGGTCTAATTTAGGGGTCCTTGACGTTAAAATGTTTGAAAACCACTGATCTAGCAGACAATACTAATATGAAATTGCCCACAAAACACCCACTGACACACATACTGCAAGTCCCACCCAGTGCCCGTTATAGTGGGTGACAATGTAGCTATGGGAATGGGAGGTGGAGGGGTGCCCCTGTCCCTCAGCGACTAACAGAGGTGATTGACTCAGCCGAGTAGCGGCAGCCGCCAGCCCACCCTCCCAAAATAGCCAAAGTCTTCCACTGGGGCAGCGGACTCTGATAAAAATCAGCTGTCGCTGAGGCCACAGGACTAGAAAGAGTTCAGTCACAGTGAACTGAGAAGCAGAGAGGAGCACTGAGAGAGGAGACTGTATCACACATCACAGGGGCCTTAAGAGTCAGTTATCCACCACAGCGGAGATACACAGGGAAGTGACAGTGAACGACGCTGGATGCTATTTTAGTAAGTATCATGAGAATTAACTTTATTGAAATGGAGGAAACTGATGTGTAGATAATGTAAAAAATACAAGTAGTACTGTATAATAATTACTGAGAGAGCTGCTTAAATGTGTACATTGTTTTATATTACAGTTCTTTATTCTGTCGAATGTGATTCCAGTCTGTAAGATGAGCAGAATTAATGTGGAGTGTAGACATTATTCAAAATACTTGAAGTTTAATATTATAGCAGTATGTTAGTGATAAATGACTAAAACAAGATCAATTAAAAGCATAAATCAAGTTATTAAATTATTATTATCAAATATTTATTATTATAATAATTAAATTACAGACTTTGACCGCACAAAAAAGAAAGTACGATGTTCTACTTTCCATTTTCTTTGTGAGTGACATCAGAACTAATAAAGCTCATAAATTGTTGTTACCATGCTGCTGGCATCTTCATTAAGTCTTAAGTGGCTATCAGTTCTCAGCCCCTTATCCCTAGAGACGTCTGGAATGGGAGGTCAGACAACAGGAATACTCTAGTTTACACTAATCCTAGCTTTCTGTCTTTCTATCATTAAAAGAATAGCGATGAACTATGAAGGGCGAAGCAGTATATATCTGTTATAAAAGCAATAAGTAATATCAGATATATAACTAACACAGTGGGGTGATGTAGTGTGTGTGGGTCTGAGGCCCCCCAGTATGAGCAGTCCTTTGGCATGCTGGTTTTCATTACAGTCTGTGAATGTGGCTACAATCACCAACAGCTGATGGTGGTGAAGGTGGTGGTGGTGAAGAACAAATACCAACTGCATTTCACCACCATTTGTACAGCTGCCAGTGGCCCGCAACGCCCCCACATTACTGTGCCGCTAATAGCTCCTCTTCATTCCTGGAGAATGAATCCAGATCAAAGAGATGTCAGCAGAAATTTCTTTGAATGTGTGCGAACCACAGAGAAAGGTATCCAGAAAAGTCAACAAAGCTTAATGTCTTATTTATGTCTGATTTGGTAACAACTGCATTTTACAAATCAGTATTTCACAAGCTGTTGATACCAGTGTGTATGGGTGTATGGGTGCTGATTCTCAACAGGACACGCATGGCACTCTGTTGCCTCATTCTGTCTGCTCACCCATCTATGAAAATGCTTTAAGTCCGGGCTCGTGAGAGGCGCCAGCTTGCTGGTCCATCCTTTTGTGCTGCGAGGGCTTAGTGTGTAAAAAGAGGAGGTGTGTTCAAATCTGGCCATTAGTTACAGCTGGATGGAAACACACTGGGCTGTTGACCTCGAGCCTTATTGTTCACAGCGCTGTTGTTGTTGTCTGAATCTATCACATCTAACTCAAACTGATCAGATTTTCTGCTGATACGTGCTAAGGACATTTGTTTTTCCTGATCAATCAACGATCTGTATCATTGCAATGTAAAACAGCTTAAGGTAAAATAATGCACACCAAGCTGAGATCATTTCTATGTTTTTCATGGGGGCAGGCAGTCGCATTCCTGTGGTCAGGTGTTGATGGTTTGATGGCAGAGAGCTCACAAAAACAATGTGCAAACAATCTGTGTCACTCCAGCTGAGCTAGCAGTTGCTGTTTTTTTTTTTTCTTCTTGGGCGTCATGGTCAGACCATGGCATGCAGTTTGGTGAGGGTCCCAGGCAGCAGGCGGGCTGTGTGGGCCTATTTGTCTTGTCAGCTACTGGGATCAAAGCCTTTGTAAAATTACTTGTTTGTATCAATGTTTGTCTTTAGCACAATAAATCATATGAAGAGGTTTATTTAAATAAAAAGTCCCACAAGCTACTCTGTTAAACTACTCTCAATCTGTTAGGGTGCCATATACTGTAGGCCTTGTTGCAGATTAAATTGTTTCCACAAGTTAACAGAGAGCTACAGCAGTGATAACAAAGTTTCCAACATCACTATAAATACACACACTATAAGCATCACTATAAATACACACACACACACACACACAGTGTTATCATTAATCTTGTTGCTGGCACTAGAGACACTCTGCTCTGCTTATTTTGGGATACATCTGAGGTCTACTTTTACAATTGTGTGTCAACAAATCTAAGATAGTAAAAACAATACCATCTAAACATTATTTGACTTTATTACATGGCTTTGTTGAATACCTGATTCTGATTGGTCAATTGCAGTATTCTACAGTGTGTTATTTCTAAATACCAGACAATGATATGAATATCAAACCATTGCTATGGGCACAGTTCTTTCAGTAAAGTATAAAATAAAATCCTTTTAAATTATTGATTTCTATAGCAAGTAGCCATGTAATAAGCAGGATAATGTACAACAAGCGGGTCATTATTAACATAAGAAACCCCAAAAGGGTGATGCTGGACCTTGACTTGCTCAGTTATTTTTATCTTATTGAGAACATTTTATAAATATTTCAGGTAGATATGATATTGGATTTTATTTTGTCTTTTGTATTGCAGATGACAAATATAGTCCACCACTGACTAAGGGGGGCACCCCAACAAGACAAACCAGAGACAGGATATCTACTTCCTCCTCAGTGAGAGACAGATCAGCTATCTATCTGTCAAAAGCAGCAGCTATCGACTCCACAGGAGGCTCAACACAGCCAGTGAGTTCCTGAAATGCCTCCCATACCTCCCTACACACTCAAGTCAAGAGCTTTGATAGAGAATGAACACTGCTCTGTCACAATCGGAGCAACTCAACATTTTACAATAAATCTATTTCATACTTTAAATGTTTATTACACTGATTTGTGTATAGCACATGTGCATCAGAGTGCTGATATATACTTTTACAGGAAATAATTGTACTCATGAGCCAAACTGATCTAAATCACACTTTATTTCTCTGTTGATAAACAGGAATTCATTGGTACTCCAGGAACGAGGGCTAAAAACAGCAAGGTACGGTATAGTTCTCTTCCCATTCTTTACTACAGTGTGGCGGTTTTGAGTGCTGTGTAACTGACTCTTATTTTGTATGACCAAAGACACAGTTAACCTTTGACCTAATACTTTAAAAGCAACACAAATAGTAACAAATTCCATTTATGTTTAGATAAAAGATCTTCAGAACAACTTATCTGTTTTATGTACAGCGCCATATTCTTTTCCCATGGCTTCGGCATTACAATCATTGTCAATCAATCACAATTTTATCAGTACAGCAGAACAACAAAGGAAGAACTGAAATTCCTAAACTGTTCACAGAATATGAAGCAGCTAAAATCAACATTTTATACTAACAATGGATCAAATGACTATGTGTATGTGAAAGGTGTGGCTCACAGTGACAAACCCACAGATAGGTATTACCCAACTATAAAGTTCCTCTCAGCTCTATGGAACATTTCAGTGTCTTTCAGCTCATTTGTTTTGGTTTTCCGACCCACAACTCTACTATTTTGGTTCAGTTGCACCATTCTTATGAGTGTTGTTTTCGACCGCAGGCAACCATTTTAAGCAATAAAGCTCTAAAAACCCACTGTGGTGAACATTGTGTCACATATAGCAACTAAGGGGCCAGACATTTATGATAAGATAAGATACGATAAGACAAGGTAAGACAAGATAAGATAAGATGTACCTCACCTGTAGGGGAAATTCAAATTGGCACAGGGGAATGTAGACTACTTCAAGTGAATACTTCAAATGAAGAGTAATGTTGCTTTATTGGTGCCACATTTGCTAATAAGTTTACCATGTTTAAAAGGTGGTAATATATCAGGGTTGTGTTTACAGCTTGTTTCCACTGCCCTTAAGTAACCAAAAAATAAGTTAATGCCAGTTTAATGTAGATTCGTACTTTCAGGTGTTTCGGTTGGAGGCAGAAATTTAGCTATTAACATAATTTAGTGCATTTACTGTGTGTGTGTACAATGAGATGGTATGCTTACTAACAGCTATGAAGTGTTTTGTTAACCCTGGTGTGACAGAAGATGGTTTGCTGTGAAAAATATCAAGCGAACACAGAAAAAGGTAAAGTATGGCTTCACTTAAATGCTAATCATTCTAATATTTGCACATACTTTAACTAACTGTTTTTCATAACTGAAACCTGACAATATTACTCCAATCTGTATTTCATTTAAAGATGACTGAACCAGCCAGGAAAATCACAGTTTCACAATCATCTCATGGTGAAGACGACCTGCCTCCCCCCCCACCTCCTCCCGTACCACCTAGACCCCTCGACTATGAAGGGCCTTCAGAATTAACTAGCCTCCCTGTTCCTCCACCTAAAGAAACATTCTCCACGTTCTACCAGCAACGGCAGAAGAGTGAGCTAAAGAGGCTCTTTAAACACATCCACCCAGACCTACGGGCGAGTCTTGATGATGCCGTGGATGATGAGATATTGAAGGCAGTGCAGTCAGAAAACGCAACAGCAGACGCAGCTTATCAGTGTGAAGTGCAGTCCATGAGGTGGATCTTTGAGAACTGGACTCTAGACAACATTGGGGATCCTCATACAACCAAGAAGCTGCTGTATGATGAAGAGTTGAAAGGTGGAGATGTCAGAGGCACTTCCTCTGTGTTTGAGCATACTGACAGCACCCAACAAATGTCTGCTAAAAGACAGACTTCTGTAAGAGGGGATGTGAGAACATCAATGTGGTTGTTTGAGACCCAGCCCTTAGATTCTCTAAATCAATCAAAAAGAGAAGAAGGCGAACTGGTCGAAGCAGTGTTGAAAGAACCCATCCAGCCAGGAGATGTGAGAGGGACTCGACTGCTTTTTGAGTCTAAACCATTAAGCGACTTGGGACGCTGCAACTCCATAGAAGACCATAGCTTCCTCAAACTGAGATCTGAGCTTCAGGAGCAGAAAGGAGACATCCAGAAGACTCTAAAACTCTTCCAGGCAGAACCCTGCTGTGCAATCAGGGACAACAGTGGCAATATCCATGAGATTAAATCCATCTGCAGGGAGGAGATCAACAGCAGCAACATCAGTACTGCCCGTTGGCTTTTTGAAACTCAGCCTTTGGACCTAATAAATAAGGGAACTGATGGGGTAAAAATAATTCGGGGTATATCTCTGGAAGAGGGGCAAAGAGGAGGAGTTGACCAAAAGAGGTGGATGTTTGAAACTCAGTCATTTGACACAATACAAGAGGTTGTAGGAGTGGACAAGTTTGAAGGAACGGTGGCTGAATGCGCAGAAGAAGCTGATGTTGTCAGTAAGAGAAAGCTCTTTGAGATGCAACCCTTGGCAGCACTAAAAGGAGACTCTGCAGAAAAGTCTTTGGAAAAGGAAGAAATTATCGGGGGAGATGTCAAGACTTCCCTGTGGCTATTTGAAACTCAACCCATGGAGACCCTTAATGATAGCTATGAAGTTGGGTCTTTGAAGAAAGTTACCCTTTCTACTGATGAACAAGGTGAAGTGAAAGGCAAAAAACAAATATTTGAGAGTTGCAGTATGCAAAACAACATCTCGTTCAAGAAACAAGAGATTGAAAAGGGCGATGTTAAGGGATTCAAACATCTTTTTGAAACCATTCCTCTGTGCAAAATTACTCATTCAGATGAGGAGATAATTGAGAAGGAAAACGCTATTGCATCAGGAAATGTAAAAGATAACAAAGCAATGTTTGAGACAACCCCTTTATATGCAATAAAGGACAGCTCTGGAAACCTCCATGAGGTCACAACAGTCAGCCGAGAAGAGTTCATCAAAGGGAAAGTCCAAAACTATAAGTGGATGTTCGAGACCAAGCCTTTGGATGAGCTTACAGAGGGAAAAGTAAATGTTGAGGTAATCAAAGGCATCACCAGACAGGAGGATAAAATGGGCGATGTCAAGATGGCAAAGTGGCTTTTTGAAACCCAGACAATAGATGGGATCCATTCCAAGTTCAACAAGACAGAGCAGAACGCTTCTATAGAAGAGGAAGCTCAGAAAGGTGATGTCAAGACCTGTAAATGGTTATTTGAGACTCAACCAATGGACATTTTGTATGACAAAGCAGAAAAAGTTAATGATAAAGAAGCCATTGACAATACCAATGTCAAGTCTATTACTTGGCTTTTTGAATCACAGCCTCTGGACAGCATCAAAGATGGCGAAGAGTACAATTTAAAGCTGTGTAGCACCATACAGGATTCTGTGAGATCGGAGGTTGGTGTCCAAACAGTCAAACATCTTTTTGAAACAGAAACCTTGGATAGAATAAGAAAGGATGCAAATTCTGAACACGATGTGAGATGTGTCAGCCAGATCAACTTTCAGTCTGGAGATGTGTCACGAGTCAAAGAACTTTTTGAATCTCAGTCCCTTGATGAAATAGGATCTGAAATGGTGACAAAAACATCTGATGAACAGAACAAAGATGAACACATGGAAAAAGGTTCAGTACATACATTTACTTGGATGTTTGAGAACTGCCCCATGAACCTGATCAATAAAGACAATGATGATGCAAACATTCAGAGAGTCAGTGGCGAAGAGAGTGGTGATGTACAGAACAAAAAGTTTATATTTGAAACTTCCTCACTGGACCAAATCCATGATCAACCCCTTGAACAGAAGTCAGACTCTGTGGAACAGCCTGTGAGCAATGTTGACGTAAAGTCCAGCACCATGATGTTTGAGTCCTTGCCACTATATGCCATTAAAGACAAAGAGGGCCAGTTTCATGAAGTTACAACTGTGAAAAAAGAGGAGGTAATGAGCAGTGATGTAAGAGGAGCAAGGTGGATGTTTGAGACAAAACCCCTTGATGCCATCAAGGCAGAGAATGAAGTTTATGTGATCCGAGCTGTCACCCAAGAAGACGTCAAGAAAGGAGATGTCAAATCAGCCAGATGGAAGTTTGAGACACAACCCCTGGACTCCCTTACCAGCCGGGATGAGCCCTCTGTCAGGGTCATTGAAGACTTAAGAAGTAGTAATGTGCAGCTCAATAAACAGGTATTTGAATCTGAGCAGTCAAGTAACAAGTTTGTGCGAATGGTTAGTGTCACTGATGTCCAGCGTGGTGATGTCAGGACCTCCACTTGGCTCTTTGAGAATCAAACCATTGACAGTCTGAAAGGGGAACCTCAGGAGCAAAGTCCTGTAAAAACAGTCCACAGAGAAGATAGCCAGAAAGGAGATGTCAAACGCTGCACTTGGCTGTTTGAATCGCAGCCGCTGGACAAAATCAGGGAGTCTGAGGATACCTTAGTGCAAAGTACTGAGGAGGAGATACCAAAAGCTGATGTGAAGTGCACTACCTGGCTCTTTGAGACCACTCCACTGGACAAAATTACTGCAAATAGTGTTGCTGACACCCTGTCCTATCTGTATCAAATGACTTTTGTTCACTCAAGTGGCATCATAATAGAAGCAAATGAGAGTAGAAATGTTAATATGGCAAAATATCTGCTTGAAAGCAACAAAGGTGTGCAAATCCAGAAGGAGGAAGTTGTTGGGGGTAACATCAGGAACATCATGTTACAACTTTTACTCAAACCAACCCTAAAACCCCAAGTTAGCCTTCTTAGAGAAGTGGAGAATGGTAAAGTGAATACCACAGTTGTAGAACTTCCAGTCTACCAGTCACCCACAATTATCAATCTCGAGAGGGATCAAAGAGTACAAAACATTGTCCAAATGATCGATGACTTGCTTGCTCAAGATAAGGACTTGAAAAAAGGAATCATAATGCAAGAAACTGCAGGGGGACAAGCTGAGATGTCAGTTTATTCACTCATCTGCAATTATGAAACCAACACTGAGAGTCAAGTTAGAGAGAAGGGAGATGTAAAGTCTACGATTGGAAATCTCTTAGCTACTGCCAACAGCCAGAGGACTGCAGCATCATGCAGAGTGGATGAAAATGAAAAAGGAAATGTGAATTTGTTCAAAAGTTGCATTGAGAAAGGAGATCTTCACTATCTGAAAAGTCTTCATACTGAGGCATCAGGAGATGAAGTTGATCACAGCCCTCTGACTGAGGAGCATAGTGATATAGTTCAGGGGGATGTGAAGGAAGCAAAGAGAAGTCTCTGTCAGCAAAAAGAGCCAGTAGAGCGAACCATTTCTGATGTTTTGCCAGGGGATGTCAAGAACACCAAAAAGGTTTTTTCATCTGAGTGCTCTTTCAGTGTTGACAACTGTGTTTCAAAGGAAGAAATCATCCCTGGTGATGTCTTATCAGCAAAGCAACAACTTGCAGTACAGCCACCTATAATGGTAGAAAAAGAGGACATTGTGGCTGGGGACATCAAGGCAACAATGCAGTCATTAGAACGTGCAAAGCAACAGAGCATGTCTGTGGAACGGGAGATTGTTAAACCTGGAACTATCTATGACATGGACTTGTCAGCTGAAGGTACTGAAATAGAAGAAAGCCAAACACAAAAAGAGGTCATTATATCTGGAGATGTGAAAGCAGCAAAAAAGTCCCTCGAAATGGCTAAGCAGCAAAGCATGCATGTGGAGCGTGAAGTCATTGTCCCTGGAAAAATATACAACCTGAATGTCACAGCACAAGAGGAAAGCTCCTCAGCAGTGATGCAATCTACATGTTCGTCTGCCTCCAGATGCCAGCAAAACAAGACTTATCCAAAGGTCAGTAATGCAGAGAAAAATCAGGAAAGCCATGTTTCCTTTGAGGCTTGTCAACAAAGTGCAGTTATAGTCAGTAATTGTGCACCAGAATCACTGCCAACTTTTTTAAGTTATGAGTGTAATGGACAGACAACAGAAGATGAGACAGAAGAAGTTTTCAGAGGAGATGTGAAGGCAGCTATTAGATCTCTACAGAGTGCAGCAACAGAGCAGAAGCTCACAGATAAAGAAGATATTGTAAAAGGTAATGTCCAATTGGCTCTGCAGTCTCTTGAGAAGTCTAGTGTAAATGTATCCAAAGGAGACTATAAAGCTGCAATGATATACAAAAATTCAGGGAAGACTTGTTCAGGGAGCAACAAGACTGTTCACAAGCAGTGTGTTGTGGTGTCTATGCCTCCATCTGACACAAAATTGTCTCCTTCAATTTCAGTAACCTGTGAAGGACAACCATCCATTACAACACAGAATTCAACACCCAACCCTGTAGCAAATGGAAACTCTAAATCATCCACCTCTGAGAGTGTAACTCCGCCTCCACTCCCTCAAAAGACAAGTGAAAAAATGCAGAAGCCAGCTTTACCGCCAAAGCCACGATGGACAAAATCAGTAATTGTGGAGGAACAGAATATTTCACCAATTCCTGCTCCCGAAGTTGCTTGCCCCATTAAAAACAACATAAAAAGTGCAGTTACTCCTCCAAAACAAAGCAAAGCATTTCCTACGCCTTCTGCAGATACACTACAACAAGAAACCACAACATATGGCAAAATTAGTAGAGAGACCTTGCATGAAACATACCACCAAAACTATGTTGATCAAGCAGTGCAAGACTCAAATCAAACAACGGAACGTCTACCAATGGACTTGAAGGCTCAGGAAAATAAGAAAAAGAAAACAGCACCACTTACAGGGAACAAATCAGATTGCCAAGAAATGATGTCAAACAGCACTGAAGTCAAAATGGAGAAAAATGTTATACAGAAAATTAATGCAGCTGAGGAGATACAAATGTGCATGAAGAATTATGCAGAAGATGGTAAACATGAAATGAACATGAGCTTGCAAGCTGCTCTACAGAACTTTGAAAGAAAGGAAAGTGAGACTCTGGGCCAAAGAGCCCCTTTGTTGTCCAAGAAGGTAAAAGTAGTAAATGATGACGGTGAGCATAAACAAACCAACAAAACCAGTGCTCAACAACAAAAATCATATTGCAAAAAACAACACAACACAGATGACACACAGCAAACATCAATGACCAAAAGTCAGGTTGATGTATGCCATATACAGCAAAATTACCTTAATGAAAAACAACCCAAACTTGAGGATAAAGTTGTTTTAAGAGAGAAGAAAGTAAAGGAGACAGATGATGAAAGACGACAAAGGCTTTCTGTCCACAAGGAGGAGATCATGAAAGGAAATGTGAAAGCAGCCATGGAAATCTTTGAAAATTTGAAAAAACGAGAGGAACTCAAAGGAATCCTGTTTCAAGTGCAAGAAATAGAGGGAGAAACCAGCAGTGCAGACGTTAGCTCCTTGAAGACATTATATGACAATGTCCCTGCCTGGATGGGTGCACCAAGTAGAAACGCAAATCGTAAAACGGAGGAAAAGAAAGTTGAAGTAGAGACACAGGACGATGATCTAGAAAGCATCTCCTCGGTCGAGACTGCATTTGAAGATCTGGAAAAGGCAAGCAAGGAAATAATGAATCTGAAGGAACAAACGTTAGCAAAGCTTCTTGACATTGAAGAGGCAATTAAAAAGGCTTTGTACTCTGTCTCCAATCTGAAATCTGAGGCTGACATTGCAGGGTTGTCAGGACTGTTTGATGAATCTTTGAAATCTGAGCAAAACCTTCAACCTGCCAACAACATCAGGAAAATAAGCATTGTGTCAAGCAAGGCGAAATCGGGTCAAATCAAAGAGACGTCTTCAGATTCAAATTCTTCTAAACAAGAAGTGCCCAAACAACCGCACACAAAGCCACTCATCAGACAGTCCTCTTCCCAGTCTTCCCCGTCATTTATCTCCATTCACTCAGCTGCCAGAAGGCCTGCAGAACAACCTAAGTCACCCATGACAACCTTTAAACCAAAGACGGAAAGTAATAGTTGCCATGATGCAAATAGTGATCTGGGACAGGAGCCTGCTGCTTCTGAGTGCTCAAAAAATGTTCACACTCCTGCACAACGTAACATCAGTGTGCTCGAGGTGAAAACTGTTCCTGAAAAACCTGCAGGAATAATTGGCACAAAGACTGTCAGTGAAACATACGAAGAGACCGACGGCTTTGGCAATGTATTTGTTTCTTCCGTGACTTCAACATTTGTCACCAAACAGTCTGACAGTAAATCTTCTGCATTGTTTGAAGTTGTTGGGAGTCCAGCCAGATATGAAGTCATGACATCTCCATTGATTCGAAGATCTGGTCGGTCATTTGAAGAAAAAGTGCCAAGCAACGCCAAGGAGGAAGGGACAGTGTTTGTAACATTTAGCCAACCAAAGGAAACACACTAAATAAGAAAGCGTGTTTCCCACTCCTTTAATTTGTGTATTTATTACAATATGTTCTGATGACAAGATATTGTTAGTCATAAAATTGATCCTATGAAATAATGAAAATGTTGACTTTTAATTGAAAATAAATTGTCTTATAGATTTTATACTGTAACCAAATGATAAAGCGATAAGTTCTTTTATTAAAAGCTAAGCATATAGTTGACTGTATGTTCTGTTGTGTAAATTGTCAAATAAATAACAGTTTAAAAGTGATTGTAAAAAGTGATTTTTATTCTTTATACTGGTTCCATATTATTATTTCACAACTTTTAAAACCTAAAGAGAGTTCAATTAAATAATTATATATAATTCAGGTTAGCTCAGTCAAAACGTTTACCACCTTATACATTGTTTTTATGAGATTCTAGCAACATACTGTAAATAACTAATTAGCTTAAATGAATAGTTTTAGGAAATACATTTATTTGCTTTCTCCTCCTATACCATTTATTGATGAAAACAACCAGATTCATGACAAATTTGAAGGTTTCAAATATTTTCTTTCTAGCTCCAAGCTGTTAACCTAAGTTTCATTATTGCTGTCTTTACCAAGAATGTTTACTCATTCTCGCTCATTCTTTCTGAATCATTCCAATAAAGACAAAAGTTGGAGAAGTAAAAAGATGACAGAGATGTCAATTTAAATAAAATCCTTGATCCTTAAGCTGAATTTGTTTTATCATCATAGTTCCAGTCACCTGCCAAGGAAATGTGTTCTGCCTGTTTGACACCTGTCTATCCAATGGAAAAAATGGTGGCCAATAAACTTATCCTGCACAACAACTGTTTCTGCTGTAAACACTGTAAGAAGAAGCTCAGGTGAGATATTTTTCACAGTATGATAAAATGACTAAAAATCAAACGTTCAGCCTAATCAAGACAATAATTTATTAAAATGATATATTGAATAATATTGAAGAAATTCTGGCAAATATTAGCATTAAATTATGTTGTGATTATTGCAATTCTCCAATGCATTGAAATCATTCACAGCAGCTGGTCTAGAACAAATCATATGACAAATTTAACAATACATTTAATACATAAAAATATTTATTTTATGTTACTTTATTGCAGCATACACAACTATTCATCTCTTTATGGAGAGTTCTACTGCATCTCTCACTACCAACAGCTTTTTAAAAGAAAAGGAAATTATGATGAAGGATTTGGGCACAAGCAACATAAAGACCAGTGGCTTCAGAAAAATAAAGGCCCAGATGAGCCGGATGTTGTGTCCACTCCCAAAATGACAAAAAGCAACGTAAGCATATCTGACGGCTTCAGAGAGTCATCTTCTGGTGTGTTTGTTACAAAGTCGTCTGCAAGAGAGCTGGTATATAACAGTGGAGCTAATGTTAAGGGCAAACTAAAAATGAGCTGGCCACCAGAGAAGAAGAGTACAGGGTTTAATCCAGTGCAGAAAACATATGTGAAAAATAAGATATCTGACATTTGCAAAGCATCTACTTATGGTATGAGCCTTTCCGACAATAACCAACTAAAGATCAGCCATGGTGGAGAAATGAAAGATAAAGTGACAACATTGTCAAGCTCCTTAATTTCAGGTTTCAAGGAACGATCTAAGACAACACGATATAACTCAACAGAGAAGTTCCCCTCAGTGGAAACCAAACCCAGTAGTGATCCAACCAAGGCAAGGCATTTCCAAAACAGCATCTTGCCAACAGTGCCTAACTTTTCTTTGCCCTCTCTAGAAAAGGGTATTACTGTCACATACCAAAAAACAGAACAGAAAAATGTGGCACCCACCTCAACAACCAACGACAATCCAACATCTAACAGGCTGGACGCTTATCCAAATAAAGCCAGGAAGTCTGTAAGGTTTGCTCCAAATGTTGATGTTGCTAAGTATGACCCGTCCTCTCAACTGACTACAGGAGTCAAAGCTGAAGAGCACAGTACGCAGCTTTCAAACGAAACTGAACAGAGCAAACTGAATAAATCCAAGGATCTAAAAGATGTCAGTGTGAAAAACATCTCTGATCATTTGTCATTAGAGTTTAGCAAAGAACATAGCGAAAGTGAAGTGTGCCCTGAAATCCCTGATAATAAATGCCATGGTGAGACAAGCAATATGTTGAACCTAGTGTCCAATGTTAAAGTGGAGAACAGTCAAGAGATCCCACAGACTGATATAACAGTTCTGAATGGAGGTGTAGACGAGGAGGATTCACTCGACACCCAGAGTTTCACTGAAACGTTTAATTCAACTGAAGAGGTTGTGAAACACCAAGAGCCATATGAGGTATTGCATGTCATTCCAAAAGACTCTGTCAACCCGTGTGAATCAGAAAGTTCAAGTACTCTGCACAGTGTTGCAGAACATATGAGCGGAGAGGAGGCCAGTCTTGAAAATAATAAAAATCCATTTGAAAATACTGACTCAGCCAATGACCAAGAAATCGGTGGTAGTCAGAGGAAGCCTGTTGCAAGAACAAATTCCCTTAAGGAATCTGCAAAACAGGTTGAAAAGACGAAGGTCAAACTGGGATCCTGGTCCAAAGGGAAGAGCCCCTTGTCAAAGCTCTTCACATCAGGTGGAAATGAAAAAACAAACAAAACTGAACCAAAAGACGGCAAGAATGTCAAACCTAGTGGTGGACTGTTAGGAAGACTGTTTCAGTCATCCTCGGAGAAGGCTGAAGACACCACCAAATTGGCTGCACTAGATGAAGGAAAAGACAAAATGCATGCTGATGACAAAAAGACAGAAGAGGTAAAGGATGCAGCTACAAAAGAGATGCAAAAGGAAGGCGACATGTTTGAAGTACCCCCTCAGGAACAAGAAGCTGAGGAGAAACCAAAGGAAAAGTCAGATTCTGCTGAGCCCAACACACTGGATAGTAACAAAAGTGAGGCTGTAA